GGGGGTGGTCAGGGCCGAGGCTTGGACTGGGCCGAGGGGGGTGGGCTGGGCCGAGGGGTCTCAGGGAAGTGGTTGGGTGAGGGGTTCTCGTCAGCTCGGCCTTCTGAAGCCCCCACCTGAGCAGCGTGTCCGGTCCGGTGCAGTCCTCCTGGGGGATGCTGTAGCCGACCTCGTGACCCAGGGTCAAGTCCATCTCGTCAGCCACCCGCAGAGCCAGGCTCAGGGCCGCCAGCGGGGAGGGCTGGCTGACCGTGACCCGGCCCTCCTGGAGCCCCCTGGCCAGCGTGAACTCGGCACACCACTGAGGGATCTGGGGTTGAAGGACAGGAAGTCGAAGGGATGGGGGCCTTCAGCCAGCCACGAGGGTGAGCCCAGCCCCCTCTGTCCATCGGACCCCAACATTTCACACCACCTAGTGCCCTCACCCAGGGAAGGCAGCTCCTCAGCCCCCTCCGTCTGCTTGCAGACCCCCACCTGGGTGCTGCTATCAGGCCTGGCCCACCAGCTTCCCTCCCTCCACTCACAGACCCCCCCACCTGGGCACTCTTGCAGGAGCTGGCCCTCCCCCGGTCCCTGTGTCCGGCAGACCTCCACCTGGGTGCTGTTGCTGGAGCTGACCCCCTCTGACCCTTCACCACCTCCACCTGCTCACAGACCCCCCATCTGGGCGCTGTTGCCGGTCCCCTGTCCGGTAGACCCCCACCTGTGTGCTCTTGCCAGCTCCTGGCCCCCCGGACACCAGCAGCACCCCATGGGGACAGCTCTCCAGCTGCTCCAGGAAGGAAAAGCGGGCCCCCCACACAGGCAAGGCGCGGCGCCTCTTAAGCAGCTCATAGTAGCGGGAGGAGAAGGGGAGCCCATCAAAGGGGTTCACGGCCAGCTCGTCTTCCCTGGGGCCCCCGCTGGATGCTTCTGCCAGCCCTGGGGGCTGCCAGGCCATGGTGGGAGAGGACCTGCAGGGCAGGGCGGCTGGTCAGGCCTTGCTGTGGGTGAGGGGCACCTCCTGGTCAGCCCATTGGCCTGGCCTGGCCTGTACCCCCAGTGACGATGCTGTGGGACTGGGGTCGGGGGACTTCAGTTCCCAAGTGGGAACCCCAGATGCAAACTTGCCACCATCAAGTAGACACAGCCACCTGACAGAACATTGTAGAACCATCGCTGCAAGATTTCTAAACCCAGAGTCTTCTCCTGCACAGCGGCAGAAGACTCCACCTGCCGCCCGTCGGGTTATTCAGTTAGGAGCTGAGTGCTTAACCACTGCACCACCAGAGCTCCCTTCTCAAGGTGAGGGGCCTCCAGAGAGGACTGTCCCCAGGGCCCCGGAGCCAGACCTGTGGCTATCACAGGCTGAGAGGGCTTCCCCAGTTCAAACCTGCCCGCAGCCGAGACGCGTTAGGATGGTCGGGTCCGAGGCCACCAGTGCACCTTCCTGACAGAAGGTACAAAGGTAAATCCTCGCCCCACCTGCTGGACGATGGCCCCACCTGAACGGCTCATGGCCACTGAGCATGTGCGAGCTCACACCTGACGTGGCCAGCTGGAGCAGAGGATCCTGGAACCTGTAGTCCATCACTCCTGGCGAGAAGCCAGCTGCTGGCTTTTCAGTCCAGTTACCGTCCACAGCATGACTCATCGTCTTGGCCAAGGGAGACTGTGGACACTTCGGTCCCGTCCACCCCTGCGGGCTCAGAAAGCCCCTGACACCACCTCCCCAACCAAGGAACGGACCAAAGAAGCCACAGAGACATTGAATGAAAACCCTGAATTTAATGAGACACTGGGGGCCCTACCCCCTCCACCACCTCATGTGGTCTGTGGAGGTGGGGGGCCCGACCCCGTCCTGCGGCTCTGGGTGTCTCCAGTCCTCTGAGCTCAGTCAGCCTGGCGCGCTTGCCTCTCTGTGAACCTCCTGCGGATGGTGGGGGGGTGGTGGTGGTGGTGACAGTGACACTAGCTTCTGTGCCTGCCTGCTGCGCTCTGCCCCTCCAGCCAGGCTCTCCCACCTCCAGCCGGGTTCTGCCCCTGCGGCCCTCACCCGCCTCCGGCCGGGCTCTCCCCCCTCCGGCCGGGCTCTCCCCCCTCCGGCCGGGCTCTCCCCCCTCCGGCCGGGCTCTCCCCCCTCTGGCTGGGCTCTCTCCCCTCCAGCGGGACTCTCCGCCCTCTGGCCCTCTCCCCACGGTGCCTCCTCACCTCCTTGCGTACTCGTAGAGCGCCTGCTTGCGCTCCTGCAGGCTCTCCTGCCGCGCCCAGGAGGACTTGGCAAATGTGAGGGTGGTGGGTGCAGGGGTGGCTGGGCCGGAGCTGGGGAACTGAGTGACCACAATGTCAGAAGGGGCCCAGTCACTGTCACTGAGCACCCATCAAGCACATGCTCCGACAGACCGTGCCAGCGTCTTAGGGCCAAGCAGGCCAGCCTAAGGGCTTCGCTGCTCACTTTCTGGGCCTCACCTTGGGGGTGGAGGTGCTGGAGTGGGACTGGGTCCCCTCGGTGATGTCCTCAGGCATGAAGGCCACAGCGCCCTCCAGCAGGTTGGTGATGGTCAAGTCCACGCAGCCGGTCCTGGCTGGAGAAGGGTGAGAGGGAGCTGCGTCCATGCCCCCGTTCCCCTCACGGCCCCTCTCCCACGGGAGACCCCCTCCCAGTACCAAGGTCTCTTTGGATGACGCTCAATGGCACATGGGGCAGAACCTCCTTGACTCTCTGCGCCAGAGTTAGGAGCTGTGAGCCGGGAGCCAGGCCAGAGGAGGGAGAGAAAGGTGCGTGAGCTGCAGAGGACAAAATGGGCCACGGTGAGCACTGGGCAGAGCTGGGGGAGCCGACCTGGCGGGGGACGGGTGCCGGAGAGTGTGCACGGGGCACGCACCTGACGGAGGACGCGATGTTCTGGGGTGTCTCTGTCGCTTCATGTGCTCTGCCTTGTCTGCTGGGGTGAGCCGTGTGCCCGTCTGCCCCAGCTCCTTAGCCACCAACTGGGAAGGATTGAAAAAGCAAAGGGGTCACTACTGGACGTCTCCAACCCTTCTCCTTCTTTTAGGGAAATGCCTCCATCCTGCCTGTGTACTCCCTCACCTGTTGTACCCGGAGAGCAAACTCTTCATTTCCCTCCCCCAGCTGGCGATGGACAGGGCGGAGCCACCTACAAAGACAATCAGGGCCATGCTGGGGACCAGGGACAGGGTGGTGTGCCCTCCCTGCTCCCAGGACCTCTGCAGGGGAGTGACGATGAAGGTGGAATGAGTGAACAGAGCGTGTGGCCTGGGGTGTAACCGTGCCAATGAGAGAGCAGTGGGCGGGCAGGGCCTTGAGGTGCGCTTCTCCCCCACACCACAGCTGGTGCTGGCTAGTACCTTACTTGATACACCGTGAAGGGCACGAACAGCGCCCACAGCAGTTCTGACACCCAGGAGGCATCGGACACCGTCTGCGGAGTGGCAAGACACAAGGCCTGAGCCAGGGGCAGGGAAACCTGGCCTCCAACCCCCTCAGGACGCTCTTGTCCACTGGACTCACCACAGAGACCAGGGGCCTCTGGACACGCAGGGTGAGCGGCTGCACTACGTCCTGGATAGAAAACGGCCAGGAACTAGAGAAAAGGGGAGGAGACACAGTCCAGCCGGGCCCACCAGCAGCTCCTACTTAGTCTTAACTATCACACTTCCCATCTAAGAGCCTGGGGCGAGAGCGGGTGCTGACAGCACCGAGAAACGCAGGGCAACCCAGCATGACTACCTTCCCAGGGGACACCTGTGTGCACCCACTCAGCAGCTTTCTCATGGGAACACCCAGTACATCCACTTTACCACCTTTTGTCGTGGGAACCTCCATATACCCACCTGGCCACCTCTGGGGGGGAACCTCCGTGTATCCACCTGGTCCAGGGGCACCTCCCCCAACCTGCCACGGGGGCACCTGCGTACCCACCTGAAGCGCAGCAGCCCCTCGCGGCCGTTGGTGGCCTCCTCCTCGGGGAAGAGCAGCAGGGGCGTGGGGGGCAGCCGGGTGGACGCGCAGAACCTCTTGAGCGACTCCACCAGCTGGCCCCGGCCGTCCACCTCCAGGAAGCCCCGGGACCAGCACAGGAAGCTGGGAGGACCGTCCAGCAGCGGCTGCAGGCAGGGAGAAGGCAGCGGGGGCGCGGGGTCAGCGACTCGGAGGCGGAGCAGGCGGGGGTCGCGCGGGGAGAGGCGGCCCCAGCCCCCCACTCACGGTGCTGCAGCTGGTCAGCAGGCTGACCATGTTATGGTCGAAGGGCGTCACGTGGTTGGCGACAAGGACCCGGACGCGGTCATCGCGCAGCCCTTCGTCCTCCTGGCGGGCCACGAGCCCCAGCACTGCACACATGGTCCGCACCACGAGCCTGCAGACAGAAGGGTCACTCCCGGCCCCCGACCCCCCCATCCCCGGCCACGAGCGCACCGCACACACAGTCCGTACCACCAGCCTGCGGACGGAGGGGTCAGTCCCGGTCCGGCCACCCGATCCCCTGGTCCCCCAGCCCCCCATCCCGGCCACGAGCCCCAGCACCGCACACACGGTCCGCACCACCAGCCTGCGAACGGAGGGGTCACTCCCGGCCCCCCGATCTCCGGCCCCCCCATTCTCTGGTCCCCCGGCCCCCCGATCCCC